TCTGTCTACAGAAGGTGGGAGGCCAAGAATGTTGCCTTTTATGGTTGTGCAGAGAAATGAACACTCTTAGGAGTCTGTCAGACATACAAAAGTTCCTCTTGCTCCAATGGAAAGTAAGCATTTAGGGAGTAAATGTAAGAGGACTTTAAAGTCAAAAAGCAAAAAACAAAAATTTTGCAAGTGTTTTAAAAAAGGAAAACGTGGCCATCGACAGAAAAAGTCTCATCTTCATTCAGTGCTTCTACTTCCCAATTAGACATCTGATCATAACAGCTGGCCTCACGCAAAAAAAATCCTTAAACCATACACAGATACAGCGATGCACATATATATGTATTTTTATATATACATGTGTGTATATCTATTTAAATTTTTATTTAAATTAAAAAAAAGAAAGGTCAAATCCCAAATCAATATATGTATGTCAAACCGTTGACCAGCCAGGTCTGAAGGGCAAAGTCTAATTCAATAGGAATGGTCTAAGAACAGTCCCCGACCTGGCAAATTAAACAATGGCCACTCCAGCGGGCTGCCCATGCCCTCCTGCTGGCGGCCCCCACACCACTCATTTGTTTCAGGGACCTCGATGCTAGACACAGTTTATGGTACAACCTCAGCAGGAGTTAAAGTTTAAAAAAAAAAAAAAGATCAAGAAAAATATTACTCTTACTTTTACCATCCAAAGAAACATCTGATATTACCAGGCTTTCTGATTTAGTGTATGATCTAGAAGGGGAAATTCAATCAGGCAAAGATAGAGAGGGAGGGTGACCATATCAAACAACCCCATGACATGCTTCACAGGGTCTTAGTTCAGCTAAGACGCATGGCATCTGAATATGTGCAGCAGAACTACATAGTAATAAAATTCTTCCTTACTTCCTTTCAACATCTCCCTGAGGAAACTTACAACACTGTGAAAAGCTAAGCCTGTGGAAATTGACTCCCTGGTGTTTACTGCCTGCTTGTGGCAATGCTTCTGAGCAGCAACAACCGATTTGTTTATACATTATCCTGAACAATCAAGTTTGTTTTTGCCAAATCTCTTTGAAAGCAGGGGCTCCAGGGTGTAGGGGTTTGATTGTATGCTTTTGGGTTTTGAGAGTAAGACAAAAACACCCACTAAAGTACTGTGGTTCTGCAAAACATGGCTGATATCCTGGTTTTTGAACGGTCTAGGAGTTGAGTAAAGGAAGCACTGTGTATTTTATTCTCAAAATACTTTTCCCTTTTTAAAACTCTTTAATGTTCTTTTAAGAAATAAACCCTTAACTCCTCTCTTTACAGAACTGCTAATCTGTCCACACAAAACTCTCCACCTGAGCTTGGAGAACAGTGGAAGCTCTGGCCACCTGGCTGCGCCACCCACCAAAGGCCCCCTTTGCTACCAGGAAGCACAGCCAGTTAATGATCCCACTGGGCTGAAATCATGGTCAACCTGGTCACTGCCCCAGACGGTGGCCAATGTGGCCTAGAATCCACCCACCTCCTTCCTGCTCCCTCACACCCTCAGACTCCTCACTGCAGGCTGGTGAGCTGCAGCTCACCTTTATCCTCACTCCATAGACTCTCCGTAGGGGACCTCATGCACACCTGGCTGTGCTTGCCTTTACCTTGGCCCGGATCTGGGTTCATCTACTCACCTGTTCCCCTAACATCTCTACTTGATGCCCCAAATGCACCTCAAAACCTAATGCATGCAAAACGAGCTCATGACTTGCTGAGCCTCCCCACCAATCCAGGCCCTTTCTTGGCGTCCCTATTCAGTGATGGTCCCACCCCATAACTTAAATGCACAAGCCAGGGCCAGCCCCGTGGCTTAGCGGTTAAGTGAGTGCTCTCCGCTGCTGACGGCCTGGGTTCGATCCCAGGCGCACACCGACGCACCGCTTGTCCCGCCATGCTGAGGCCGCGTCCCACATACAGCAACTAGAAGGATGTGCAGCTATGACATACAACTATCTACTGGGGCTTTGGGGGGAAAAAATTAAAAAAAAAAAAAAAATTAATGCACAAGCCAGAAGCCCGGAGATTCTCCTTGACAGGCCTGCCTCCCTCCCCCTGAGTCACCAAATCCCACTGCTTTAGTGTTTAATGTGATCAATTCCACGTGCTCACTTCTCTCCACGTCTGCCGCATGGCCCAAATCACTTCTGAAAGTGGTCAACACAGGAGCTGTCTTCACCTCACCCCCATTCACCTCTCAACTCCTGTTCTCCATTCCCACCTTGTCACTGAACTTGCTCTGTCACCAAGCACTCAAATGGACAGTTTATGGTGAATGTCACACTGGCCCACCCTGCAGCATTTGACATGCTAATCCCCTCTAGAAACTCTGCCCCACAGCTTTGGGAGAGCCTGCGAAGCCCCTGGCTGTTTCTTCCCTGTTGCCTCAGCAGACAGCTTCTTTGGCTAATGGCGACATGTTGCTGTCCTCCTGGATTCTGGACTTCATCCACTCCTCCTCTCCATGGACTTTCTCTGAATACGTTTATCAACCCTCTCACGCAGTGTCACCACAAAACCCTCATCTTTCCCTTGAGCTTTAGATGTGTCCCACGGGCACCTCAAACTAAACAAGGTCCACACTGAACTCATCATGTTTCCTTCCTCTCCTGCTGTCGCATTCCTCATCATGATGGTTATTCCTCAGTTGGTGCCACCACCAGTGACCTCATCAACCAGGATCCACATCGAAGCGTCACTCTAAACTTTTCCTCTCCCGTAGCTCCACAAACTGTCACCAAGGACTGAAAGTGTTCCCTCCCTTTGTCCGTTTCCGCTGAGACTGCTTCTAGCTAAGGTCTTCATCATCACTCACTCGCTTATTCCTTCACATTCTCAACAAATGTTTACGGACTCCTACCATGTACTAGATGCTTCAGCTTGTGTGAAGCTCACGTTTGTGGTGAATCGTGACATCCCAGGAGGCATCAGTGATCTAGATCAGTGTGCCGAATGCTACAGAGGAATAACCCAGGACATCACGTGAGCACACAGGAGAGGCACTACATCCAGCTTTGTTTAGGGAGTCTTCCCACTCTGAGAAGTCAGCCTAGGCAAGTGTCTTATGTGAGAGCCCAGAGGTGAGAGAGCCTAGTGAGTGGAGAGAACCTCAAACAGCTTGAGATGGCTGGAGTGGAGAGGGAAAAGGCAGGAGTGGTGCTGCTTTTAGCTGTGCTCACCTTGCACAGGCAGCTGGGGAGTCCAGGAAGTGTGTGAGGAGTACAAGGAGAGATCACCCTGCCTGCTGCATGGGTTTCAGAAAGGAGCTGGCAGGACTGCTGGTAGGGCAATCCAAGAAGCAGAGCGGATAGCCTAAATGTTCCGGGGGAGAGGCTGGCAACAATAAAAAGCAGCCAGTTGGGGCCAGCTCAGTAGTGCAGTGGTTAAATTTGTGCACTCCACTCCAGCGGACTGGGATTTGCAGGTTCGGATCCTGGGTGGGACCTACACACCGCTCATCAAGCCATGCTGTGGCAGGCAACCCACGTATAAAATGGGCACAGATGTTAGCTCAGGGCCACTCTTCCTGAGCAAAAAGAGGATTGGTAACGGATATTAGCTCAAAGCTAATCTCCCTCACCAAAAAAAAAAAAAAAAAAAAAAGTCAGCCAGTCTCTAGACAGAATGGAGGAGGTAGAATCTGCAAGACTCGGGAACTGGCTGGCTGCTGGGGGGAGGGGCCGTTAACCTATGACCCGCAGAGAAGGCGCAGCTGAAGCCTCCCTGGACTGGAATATTCTATCTCCTTAGAGGACTGGCATGCAAGCTTTTTGCCTGTGTACCCTTGAAAAGAATTCTGAAACTCTGCACCCCCTAGCACACTATGAAGCTGACATCCAAATGTGTTTGCAGAGTTAAGTAGCTGCAAAGAACGTGATTACGGACAGCTGCTGCACCTGCGTTTTAAATACCGGATTTGTGTCAAAGCTTTGCACGTGCAGATTTAGCTCATTCCAATAACGGAAAATGTCCATAACCAGTAGTCACCGTCAAACCTATTTGGCAAATTGGACTCACTCTCTGGGAGAAGTCCGCCAACACTTGCGCGTTAGTTCACTTTTGAGCAATCACACGAAACCATCTAACTCCTGAGTTCGAATTCAGGAAGACGTCGGATTTCATCGGATGAAATAAGAGGCTGCCCCTTCAATTTCCTTCCTGAAGCGCTCTATCTTTAACGTTACCCTCCCGCAGTGGGAAAACCTTGCTCTGACGGAGTCTGCGTTCTTCTTGAACAGACTGACAATAATAAGCAAACAAACGCGCAAACGTGTATTTCTGCGTCTCTGCGTCCCCCAGAACCCGGCTCCGGCACAGGGAGACTGTCCAGGCGCCGGGCAGCGGCCGCGGCACCTCGGGGCTCTCGTCGCACACGCCTGCAGCCCCTGCCCAACCTGAGCGAGGCTTTGGGACCACCGGGCCCCGGGCGGGGAGGACCACCGGGCCGCAGGGACCACCGGTCCCCGAGAGGGAGGCTCCCTGAGGGCGGGCCTGTTTGTCGACTCATTTGACGGCGGGCGAGCGCGCGCTCACCGACACGGTCGGGCAACCCCCGGACCCGCCTCAACAGACAGAACGCAGCGCTCCCGCCGGCCGCGCTCGGGCGGCTCCTCCCAGGCCTGTGCGAAGGCAGGCGCCTGGTCGGGGGTACCCCGCCTCGGGGCGGCACGAAGCACCGGCACCTGTCCCCCGCCCCTACCCCCTGCCCTCCGGGCTCACAAACGACGAAAGAGACGCTGGGACCTTCGCCTCCGACTCAGTCTAGACGTCGCCGTCCCGGCGCGAAGTTCCCCCACCACGACACTTCGACGGCAGCCATCTTGCCCAGAGGCGGCCGACGCCTTTTGACTCTCGCGCCAATCCGTAGAGCGAGGGTGCTGCGAGGGGTGTTCTGCGCAAGGGCGGAAGCTGGAGATCCGCGCTTCCGGGCGGCCGCAGCGCCCCGCCCTCTCGCGGGAACACTTGATTGGCTGCCGGCTTGCGATCTCGCGATCTCGCGAGAAGTGGCTGAGGGGGCGGCCGCCGGTGCGTCTGGCCTCCGGTTCCCCGCCCCCGCCTCCGCCGCAGCCCCCGCCTCCGCCTCCCCGTCCCCGGCGCCGCCGCCGCCCTCCCCGCCCGCCTGGTCTCCCGAGCGGCCGTGGGGACCGCGAAGCGCGGGCGGCGGGATCTGCACGGTAAGATGGCCGCGGCGGGCCCAGGCGGCCGGGCCGAGCGTCTCGGCGGGAGCGCGGCGGCCGGGGGAGGAGACCCGGGCGGGAGGAGACCGGGGCGGGGGCCGGGGAGGAGACGCGGGAGGGGCCGGGCCAGGGTCCCCGCGCCGCCGGGGCTTTCCCCCGAGGCCGCTGGACCGCGCTCGGGCCTTACGGGGTCACAGGTCCCCGCAGGTGTCAGAATCGGGCGAGTTCCCGGGGGAGGCGGCGTTCTCCGGACCTGAAGTCAGACTGCCGTTTCTCCTCGGTCGCGGTGGGCCATGCCGGTGGAGCGGGCGCTTGGCTCGGTGTGGTCTCAGAGGGAGGGCGTTCAAGTGGAGGTTCGGCGCTGGGAAGGGCCGCCAGCCGGAATGGCGGTGGTTACTGGAGATGTCGCACATGTGTGACTGCGAAGAGAACGAGGTTATCGCAGAATCCCTTCAGCAGGGACTGCGCTCGCCAGGACGTGCATGGCTGGTTGCGTGACTTCAGAATTGGGATGTTTGATTTGAATCAAACATTGAATATTTAACAGCCGAGTTTTTCCTGCGCAAAACAGAACGGGCCAGTTCTCCAAAGGGGTTGCTTTGCAAAGTCGCTCTCCACGCCAGGGAGTGGTACTGGGGTGATTGCTGGTTACAGTGGACGCTGAGAGAAGGTGCCTTCTTAGTTCTCGGTTACCTTGAATTGTTATCTGGGAATCAGAATAGGGCCTGAATGAGTGGTGCAGTGGGCCGCAGCAGAGAAATGGGTATTTTGTGTGGGACAGCGTCTCTTGGTTTTGCCTGCCCTGCGAGTTTTCTTCTGCTGCGCCTCCCCCTGGGCTGATCTCTAAGGTCGCGGGTCCTCCAAGTACCTGAGGACTTTGTCTTGTGCCCCTTTGCTTCCCTGCCCACACTATTTCCCTTGGTGATCTTTGCCCAGCTCTTGGCTTTCCCTATCATTTTTTGGCAGATGTTGCCCTAATTAATGTTTCCAGCACTGAGCTCGGGACCTGTAATCCAGGTGCCTGCTTGACTTCTCCAGCTGCATGTGTAATAGCCCAGACTTGCCTTGCTTCTCAAACCTGTTCCTCTCCCGGTCCTTCGCCCTCATCTGTGGCTCCATCCTCCAAGACCTCAAGCTTGAAACCTCCCATCCATCGCCCTCAGGTCTTCCCATTTTTTTATCCCTCCACATTCAGTCCAGCAGCAAGGCCCATTGCTCCGTGTCCACAGAATCTCCATCTGCTGTGTCTCTAGCTCTTCTGCTGCTCCCCTCTCTTGTTTGGGTGGCTCTTTGCCTGTCTTCCTGCTAAGCTCTCACCACCCCACATTTGCCGTCTTTTACTTATTCAGCAGTTTAGCAGGTACTTAGCTATATGTAGTAGTATCCATGATGTATATGTCAGAGGAGGAAAATGAAGTGGGCAGCAATGGGCTCACCACCCATCTCAGGAACCCAGCAGGTGCTCCCAGGGTGGGCACCTGTCTCCCCCTCCTCCCACAGTAACACCTCCTTAGTTTTGTGTTTCATGCCCTTACTTAAAGCAACAACAGAACAGTTTTGGCCCATATGTATTTATTGCCAAAGCATGTATTATGTAGTTTGTCTTGTTTTTGTTCTTTACAAAAGTGTCTACCACACTTGGGCCCCTGCTGCAACATGCTTGATTGATCCAGCTCGTTTCTAAGGGTCATCATGTGGTTGCGTTGCTTTAACTGCTTTAGTGAATTCTGTTATGTGAATACATGATCACAATCCCTTCTCAGCAATGCTAAAATCCAAATAGCTCTGAAAAGCACAGGTTTTTGTTTTTGTTTTTAACCTATTTGATGGTAAACCCTGACCTGGTAAAGACTGTATAATAGTCTCTATTCCGCTCAGTTTGAGTACACGTACATTTCGTTGAAGAAATGATATTTGATTATAGGTGCTGCCCCAGACCCCAATGAGGATGTCATATACTGTATGGTAAAGTGTGCCATATAGTGTTTGTGCAAGCTGCAGAATTCTGAATTCTGAAACATATCTGCCCCAGGATTTTGGGCTTGGGATTTTGGTTCTGTGAACCACAGTTCCTTGTCCATGCTGCTGTTTAAATGAACATCTGGGTGGGTGTCTTCCACATTTTTGCCATTTTGAACAGTTTCTTTAGACAGTCTTGTCTGTGTTTGATGTATGATGAGTTTTTGAGGGTCTCAATCTAACAGGAGTAGATTTGCTACGCTGTGAGGAGCATACGTGTTCGGCTTTACAAGGAATGCCAAAAGTTTTTGCAGCACCAGTCTGTTCTGACAGCAGTGTAAAGAGTTCAAGAGAACTCCCTATCTCTGTTAACACTGGTAATTTTTGTCAGTGTGGTGGGTATACAGTTGCAGGCTTCTTTTGAGCACATAAGTCAAGTGTGTAATCCTTTAGCTTATACCTCTCACGGCTGCCCTTTGCACGTAGAGGAGAATCTGTCTACACTCCTCCCTCAGCCTGTAAGTCCTTACTCAGTCTGACCCCAGCCAACCTCTTGACCTCTTAGTTCTGAGACCCTTGGCTCTTTCTTGCATTCATCCTGCCTTCTAAACACCCCAGCCTTCTTTCTGGTCTCAGGTCTCAGGCCCTTTGCGCTTGCTGTTTTCCAGATTTAAATTATCTTCCCACTCCCTTTTACTTTTTAGTATGTCACTGTGTATGTCATTATTTCTGAAATGAGCACAATTGTCATAGAATTCTTCACTGATTCTTAAAATATTTTTTTTCCTGTAGAAATAAATCAGAATGAGTTACGCAGAAAAACCCGATGAAATCACAAAAGATGAGTGGATGGAAAAACTCAATAACTTACATGTGCAGCGAGCAGACATGAACCGTCTCATCATGAACTACCTGGTCACAGGTAATTCTCCCTCTTTGTACACGCAATCAGAATTTTACCACTGAAGTTCCATGATAAAGATACGTTGTGTTCAGGCATTGTACAAACGTGGTGCTAACTTAGTAAATGATCGTGAGGAAGGTATCCTCTTCTGGAGATGAGATTATTCCGGGTCTCTGAGACCTAAGGCAAAAACCTGTTTTTGGCCTCTGACATTCTTACAGTTAATTAAGATAATTAAGAATGTTGTGAAGTACATTTAAAGCCCAAATAATTGATCTCTTCTGGCCAGTCTGGTAGATTATACTGGACTGTTTCTAGAAGGTGTGCCCAACTGAAAAGAGGAAGGGAGAAGGGCAGAAGCCTAGGAAGGAAAGAAAAGTGCTCTCTGGCTGATACTCAGTTCTCCTTGACATGGGAGAGGAAAGGGCAGTTCTGTACGTGGTGAGAGAATCCAGATGTTTCCAAAAGGTGGAAGTCTCCTTCCTACTAGTTCCCAGTACCCGATGCCCAGTTAGTCTCTGTTAAGACCTTTTTTGAAAGGTGATGAGGAAATATCAGCCTATAGCTGTGCGTGTGAGTGTGTGTGTAGAGAGAGGCACATAACGCTGCTTTGATGTTGAAGAGAATTGTCGACTCGTTAAAAGTGGGAGTGGCAGGTCCCTATCGACTGTGAGGGCATAGCCAGTGTGTCTTGCCTCACCTAGACCAGATCTGCAGTTTCTCTGCATCCTACCTGGAATTGCAGCCTTCTTCAAGGAGCCCACATCAACACATTGGGCTTCCTAGCATTCATTCTCCCCTGTAGCTGGTGGGTTAGAGTTTGTTTGGATGGAGTAGAGAGGAATGAGTACACTCTTCTCATTCTCTGTATCTCACGGGCATGACTAGTTTATCACAAAGCTGTTGATAACAAATCCCAAAGAACGAGCAGGGGTCAAGTTGGAGGGGACTTACTCTAGGCAAACGGGCTTTCTAGAGATAAAAGGCTTTGTGTTAATGTCTTGCTAACTTTCCAAGCAGTGAAGATGGTTTTCATTTTCAGAGGGCTTTAAGGAGGCAGCAGAAAAGTTTCGAATGGAATCCGGGATCGAACCTAGTGTGGATCTAGAAACACTTGACGAGCGAATCAAAATCCGTGAGATGATCCTGAAAGGCCAGATTCAGGAGGCTATTGCGTTGATCAACAGCCTCCATCCAGAACTCCTGGACACGAACCGGTATCTGTACTTCCACCTGCAAGTGAGTTTCGGTTGAGAGGCGTCTGGTTCGTAGACACTCGTTAAGATTATTTGCAACGATTCAGAAGTAATGAGGCTAATCTGCATTAATAGAATATTGTTTTAATTTATGTGGGGGAGGGGTTTGAGTTAGCTGTTGTCTTAACGTATTTCAGAAGCCAGTTCTTGCTTTAAAAATGCAAATTTAATGACTCAGAGATGCTAGGAAATTGTCCTTTAAGATGGACAGAAACAAATGCCCCTCGCCGGGTATCGCTTGCCTGGGTGTGTGGTGTGTGAGCCTGTCTGCCTTTACCGATGACTAGCAACAGCACCTGATCGAGCTGATCCGCCAGCGTGAGACAGAGGCGGCGCTGGAGTTCGCCCAGACCCAGTTGGCGGAGCAAGGCGAGGAGAGCAGAGAGTGCCTGACAGAAATGGAGCGCACGCTGGCCCTGCTGGCCTTCGATAACCCTGAAGAGTCACCCTTCGGAGACCTCCTGAATATGATGCAGAGACAGAAGGTAAAGATCCGTGAAAGGAAAATCTTCCTTTTCACCCTTAATGGAATTTTCAACAAACAATGTGTGGTGAATTTGTGGTGTAGAATGAGAGACACATCATTTCTGGGCATGTATGGTGTGACAGCATCAATTCTCTAATTTTTAATCTTTTATTGTGTTAAACTAGGAACAGCAGAATGTCTGACTTTATAATATTCAAGCCTTTTTGCCAATTTTTCTCATTTATCTTAACCTTCTTCCTGTTTATTTGGAGACTCTTAGAGATAGGTGTTCTAAGTTTTTTACTTAAAATCCCATATTCGCTTCTGAAGCTTCCTCTCCTCACTGCTACTTCTATGTTCCGGCCCACGTGATGGCTCGACTCCCAGAAGCAGCTCCCTTGTCTCCCTCGCCCTCCACTGTGCTGGAAGGAGTGCGGCCCCAAGGTCCACTCCAGGTGTCCTTGAGGCTTGCTAGGATGGACCTCCTATCCCCCTCGCCCTGGTCTTTCCTCTCTCCCTGGCTCTTGGCATGTAACTGCCCTCCAGGCCAGATGTGGCATCGCCGACCAGACCGTGAGCTCCTTTGGGCGAGGAGTGTGTGTTCCAACTCCTCCAGAGTGCCTCACGGATTCCGGCTTCTTGTTTGTTTAAATAAGTCACAAGCTTCTCGTGTAAAAATGGTTTCTGAGAGGTATAAAATGCATATTGTAACAGACTCTTTTGCTGGTGCTCTGCATGTGTGGTGGTTTTTATTGGACGTATTTATTTTCTAGGTGTGGAGTGAAGTTAACCAGGCTGTTCTAGATTATGAAAATCGTGAGTCAACACCCAAGCTGGCAAAATTACTGAAACTACTCCTTTGGGCTCAGAATGAGCTGGACCAGAAGAAAGTAAAATATCCCAAAATGACAGACCTCAGCAAAGGTGTGATTGAGGAGCCCAAGTAGAGTCTGTGTGGTGGACGCCGCGCCTCACCCAGCGGGCTCGTTGGCCCGTCTGCGACTAAAAGATTTTTACTGCAGTAGAGAACTCTTTCCTCCTCTTACTTTTTTTTGACCCAGCATCTTTTTTAAAGGGAAAAATGGCCTTTTGAAGCGCTGGAAGACTCGCAGTGGAAGACACTGTCTCTGGCAGTCTGATCCGCCTCTGCCTGCGGCGTGTCTAGAGGTGCCAGTGGCTGGCACTGTGCTCCTGGCACGGTGTGGTGGCTGCTGAAGGGTTCCTTTGCGTCGAGAGCTGAGTTCCTGGGGACTGCGGCTACACTCGGGCTCCACCAAGTACATGAGCAGCACTGGCAGTCCCTCTGCTCTCTGCGGGCACGTGGGCAACAGCACGTGTCCTCACTTCTCTGAGTCTCCTCAGGCCCTCACGCGGGAGTTTCTCCTTACCCCCTTGGTTTTTGCTTTTTCATAGGAAAGACTATATAAATTTGTAAATCCTAATTCAAACACTTGTTTTGTGTGATGGTATTGAGTTTGATGTGTTTTCCCTTTTGGTCTGCGTTGTGTGGCTTTTGGGGAGATGTGTGTGTGAGGGGCGGGCTGTGTGTTTTTTAATTTTTTAAATATATATTTTGGTGCTGTACATGGTGAGAGACTTTCCTAGTGGATCAATGAACCATCTCTTCTAGGCAGTTTTGATGAAAATAAAGGTTTCTCTTTGATTTCAAGAATGACCAAAATGGCCTCTGAAAAGTTTCAGTCGTCTCAAACAGACCTCTTGTTTTGGGGGCTGACTTCCCTGTTGTGATGGCACTCACATTGGTGCCTGTAGCTGGAGGGCACTTTGCCAGCCCTGTGTGCCTGGAGTGGACTTCCAAGAGGGAGGGGGGCCAGTGCTGACGGCTGTGTGCCTTGGTGTGGTGGAGTCCTTGGCTGGGAGTACGTGGTCAGCCTCAGGTGACCCCTGCCCAGTGGGGAGCTTGGAAGTGGCAGCCAGTGAGACCGAGTGCCCTTGTAATTCGGGGTGCAAACGTGTGTTTGAATTCGTGGCAGAGTGTCACTGGGCGTTGGTGCTAGGACTTGATTTTGTGGATCTTTACAGAACCACTAACCCCTCGGGATGAGTCCTGAGGTGGTGATGACAGTGCCCAAGAGCATGGAGCTCCTCTTGCCTCTGAGGGCTTCTGCACGTCCTCAGGTGGGGGCTTCCAGCTGCCAGGGCGGCTGTGACTCAGTTCTCCCTCGGCGGATTCCTTGTGCTGGGGCAGGGTGTTCTGGTACCCAGAGCTTGGTGGAGAGAAATGCCACTAGCAGCTGAATTTGGAGGAGTCAGTTTGCTTTGACAAGCAAGGTTAGGCAGCTTGTGGCTACTCATGTAGGTCAGGTGGCCCGCCTCTGATTCCTGGGGCCGTCTTTGTCCAGTCCTCCCTGTACCCTGAGGCTCTAGCTTGCAGTGTCTGTGGTGCGGCTGTCCTCTGCCTGCACTGGGGGTCTATGAGGGCGCCGTTCATGGGCAGGAGCTGTGGGCAGCATTTACCTTCCCCAGGTGGTGGCTGTCATTCGGTCACAGCAGCCTGGTGAACTGCTGTGGCACCTGCAGACCACTGTGGCCTCCAGACTGCCCCTTCGTGCTGCCCGGTTCATTTGGGGAAGGTGAAGGGGGTCCTCCCCTTATCCCAGAAGTGGTGTGTTTCAACTGTCTCCCTAGTCGTCTTCAGATGTGACCTTTTTTTAGCATCATTTCCTCTGAGTTTTGAGAATAAAAATAAGTTAGAGGGAAAGAGAGTTTTAATCTTCAGGTAATTAATAGTTAAATATAGCAGAAGCTGGAAGAAAAACCTTAGGAGAGAGGTAGAGATACTTTGAAAAGCACCAGATAATTCAGCATGTTCCTACTTCTCTTGTATGGTGAGTGTGCATAAGACCATTTACCTGCATAACCAATATGCGATCAATTGGACGTATTCTCCAAATTAGAGGGTGTGAGGGGTGTAGTAATGGGGAGCCCCGCTGGCAGGAGTTATCCACAGACTCCCAGCACCTGGGTGGGTTTTGTCGTGTGCATGACATGTCAGGAAGTGGCGGTAAGACTCGGCGTTGGTGTTTCCTTTCCCGGTTCAGTGAGTAGCTTCGTAGCCAGTGCTGAAAACCAGCGTGAGCTTGGTGTTGGTGGACTCGAAGGATTCAGCTGTTATTCTTTTCTTCACTCTGGTTTAAGAGGTTTAGTTACTTTTCCCAGGATCTGTTAGTGGACTAGAAATTTCCTCCAAAGGGAGTGGCTTTTCAGACTTTTCCTTTTTGCCACCTTTTTGCAGTCTCTGTTTTTTCAGCAAGCAAACTAAAGCCATTTCGAGATAATGAACATTATGTATAATTTGATTTTTCTGCTTCGTCTCATTTGGATTTCGCTGTTGTTTATTAAAATGTAATGTGTTACAGAGGTAGTTTATTTCTTCTTTTTACGCTTTCTTGTGGAAAGTGCCTTGAAATAAAATCTGAGAATATTCTGGTACTCTATGTTCCTGTTATCATGAAGTTGTGTGAGGAGTAACCCCTTGTTTGGAATCTCTCTGAAGTATAGGGATTGTTGCAAAGCAAATGAGAACTGTTGTATTTTGCCGTTTGAATTAAGGTTTCCAGGTTCTAGAAAAGGCACATGCTTCTTGGGTCTGGTATTTGAGATGAAAGCCTCCCCGCACGTGACTGAAGACCCATGAGCGAGGGACACGGAGGCCATTCCTTCCGTCCAGTCAAGACGCACTCTGAAGACGTGTGGAGAAAACAGGTTGAGGACACTTTTTCTAAGGCCGTGTGATGTCTTTACTTTCCTATTTCTGTACACTATTAGCTTTGGGGGGTGGCGGAACCAGGGGTGTCAGAAAGAATCGTACACATTTTATGTTAAAGACAATGACGTCTTCGGGATAACGGAGCAGGACTCCCTTCCGGGTTGTTACCGTCAAGTCTCATTATGAACAAAAGACCAGAGTAAAAGCGTCAGGTGAATGCAGTGGTCTGTCTGCTTTTCTGCCGACCGAAGACATCCAGTCGGACGTAGTAGGACGCCATGTCCTCCTCAGCCTGGAGAAGTGCGGCTCTGACGTGTTTCACTGACACCACGAGTGTTGTCTTTTACAACGGGTATATTTTTATTTCAGAAGTATGTACTGCTTTTTTGGATTTGTAGTAAGTTGTACTGTCAGCATCAGTCCTGTGAAATCCTGTATGGGACCATCACCTGCTGTAGTCCCTTTGTACTCCTCTGATTCTGTAACCCTGCTTTATTCCTGTGGGGCAGATATGCACTGCCCCCACCAGCATCTTTTGAAAAATGCAGAATGGGTTGCTTTTGCTGCCTGTTCTTAATTTCATAGTAAAAGTTTTCACATTTTTCTCAGAGTGGTCATCTGAAAGCTCTTTCTTTTCTTCCGCAAAGATATCCTAATAAGAACAAAGACTTCAATACCCTAACGCCCTTTTATTTCAGGTTGGCCTGTGGGACTTGGAAGGGTGGAGGGACACTGAGTTCACTACTTGATGCTTTGCTGTTGCTCTATCCCGGCTCTTGCCCGCACCTTGTCTTGTCTGGTTCATGCATGTCTGCTCACATGTGTGCTTTAGTTTGAAACCTGTCGTCTGTCCTCTAGAGTTGTGGCATTTACCTTTCATTTTTGTGAAGGAAATAGAACTATTTGTGCTCCCCATCACATGATTTTAAGCTGAACTGGAACAGCCTAAGTCATTTTCTTTTGTTTGTGAAAGTTTCCAAACATTCACAGTAGAGGGACTGCTCCAGCGAGCCCCAGGGTCCTCACCGTAATGCTTGTTCCGGGTGCATCCGGGCGTGGGTCCCGTACTCTCAGGGCCGTTAGCGTCTTCACATGTGAAAGGTAGTTGTAGGGCACTTGACCGACTTGGAGTGACAGCTTTCCAGTACCTTCTAGTGGGGTCCAGGCGTGAGGACACCTTGTGCTGGAGCAGTGGAACTGTGGAGTGTAGGCATGTCGGAGAACGGGGAAAGGAGCCTCTGCCATCGCTGTCCCCACGCGGCAATGACACCTATGCCATTCTTCATGCCCGCACTCCCCACCTTGCAGGAGGGACGTGGTGGCTCTTGGTCATGCACCCACGCAGAGCGCTGGGAACACGGGTACCCGGAGCACCTGGGTTGTACTCACGACAGTCTGAGGTGCTCGGCACCTGCCGTAACTCCAAGGTGCCATCAAAGTCCTTTTCCCTTCCTCGTGGTGAGTTTACTTACACATGTGGAACACAGTGTTTGGATGGGCCTTTGGCATATAACTAGCTGTGGCAGACTTCCACGATGGGTGACTCTGCTGGTGGGGTATCCTGAGCTGTTTATCATTGCAGGAGACTGGCCACAGCTCGGTGGAGCCTAGGCCGAGCCGTAGCCCCGGTGGGGTGAGGTCCTTGGTGGGGCCGGGAGGGGTGGTCTGGGATCATGGGTCACAGCATCCGTGTGTCAGCAGGTGGGCGAGTTCGTCACTGCAGGGGGTGTGAAGTAAGGTGTGGGGCTTGGACTCCTCTGCAGTGTGTGGAAGTCTCCTAGCTGGAAGGCCAGGTTCACAGGTCCAGTCTGACTGTGGTACAGAAGACAGTCTATCAGACTCATTGATACCCAGCTCTATCCAAAAGGATTAGTGAAGGACCAACTAGAGGGGAGTGGAGTTTGTCCACCGGGCCTTTCCGAATGGCTGCATTTTTAAATGCACGTCGCAGTGGCAGCCCTCTTGCCTGGCTGTGGGTGCTGAGCAGTCAGGCCACCACACTGCGTGGTGAGACTCTGACTCGCCCTGGGAGTTTGGGAGAGGAAGACACTAGGATGCCACTGTTGGCTGTCCTGCACGTGACTGCCCGGATTCAGAGATGTTCTGTGTGTTTTGGGGTGGAACGAGTGAGCTTAGTAACCAGAGGGAAGTGACGAGCTGCTGCTGGTCGATGCCTTCTCTGCCTGGCTGCGACTTCTCGCTCCCTGTAGGCACGTCTGTGCGCTTTGCTCATGCAAGCGAGGTTGGTTTTCTCTCCTACAGATCATGGTGTTTGACAATCATCATCTTCCCAACTAGCTTTTGAAAGTGAAGCAAGCTGAGCTGTCACCAAGGATTCCCACACCAGGGCTGGAGGGTCCAGGGAGGGAGGTGGGGGGTGGTCAGCCAGAAGCATGGAGGGCTGTTGACCACACTGACTCAGGTGAGGGGACAGGGTGCTGGTCCCTGCTTGGCCACACACTTCGTGGACTGGTGAGCCCTTAATCCCTGGGCGTTCCAGTTGTGTTCTTAGTATAAAACAGGAGTGTTGAGAGCAGTGTTGGTAAGATTCACATAGTGAGCTCACCAGCACTTTGAAAAGAGAGAAGTCTTCCAGAACCTTCAGGTATTCCACATTTAGAGCCTATACAGACCAAATCCATTTGATACCGCCATCAAGTCTATCTTTCTGGTTCCCAGTGAAGTTGTACACAGTTCTTTGTCCTTGTTTTCCTCTACTGCTTAAAAGATAATTCCGATCCAAAGGTGGCTGCCTCACCCCGTTAGTCAGTTCCTGCAAATTGTGCCCAGAGCTGGGAGCGTGTTTCTTAATCTCCCCTGTCAGTAACAGCAGGGAAAGGTCATTTATTAGTCTTGCTTATGGACTCCTCATCTTTAGGAGGAAGAATTGTGCCTGTTTGGCTGCAAAGGGGGCAGAGGTGACGGGGGCCAGAGGTGATGGGGGGGCAGAGGTGATGTGGGGGGGCAGAAGTGAAGGGGGACAGAGGCGACGGGGGACAGAGGTGATGGGGGTGCAGAGGTGATGGGGGGCAGAGGTGATGGGTGCAGAGGTGATGGGACGGGGCACCAGGGGAGACCCAGGCCCTGGTCTGGTCGGTCTGCATTTTGTGAAAAGCTGTACGAGGTGTAATGGCCGCGTCTGTGCTTTGCCTCCATCATGCTGCACAGAAGGGATGGCTCTGGTGGCTGAGGAAGGAGAGGTTACAAAGTAAGCAGTGAGGTGTGAATTAGCTTTAAAAAAAACCTTTATGGCCTGTCTCCGTGCAGCAGCACTGGAAGTAAATAGACATTAGGCGGGCAGGCCCCAAACAAGAAGGGGGAACCAACGCCCTAAGCCAGTGGGTGTGGCTTTGACAGCTCTGTCGCCAACAGCAGCCCTCCATCTCTCGAAAACCAGGTGTTAAACTGTCTGCTGTAATGCTCTCTGTACATATCCCACCCAGTCATTTTCTACCTTGAAGCTCAAGGACAGTTTGTTGGTTGGATATGGGTTAGCTCACAGAATCAACTAGAAGCCTGGACAGGGTGTGTCCACCCTGGCCACTGCCAGCACCCTTTGGATTGTGACACTTAGTCTAGCAGCTCTGGCTGCCACCCGAACCTTCTACCTTAGTGAGGACTGGGAGCCCCGATGAGCTCGGGGTCTTGGGAAGGTGTCCAAGGCTCGCCCTGGAGCCCTCTCCTGGCCCTCCTCACAAACCCGGTGCACTGGGCACCTCTTGGCCCCACTGCTCTCATCCTGGCCGGAGCCCCCCTCACCTTAGTCCTGGAGTACACAGTGGTACAGTGGTCTTGTCCTCCCTGCCTTCACCCTGGCCCCCCTAAGCTGTCCAGACAGCAGCCAGGGGTGTCCCATGACAATCTGGTGGCTTCCAGCCTCAGAGCCCTGACTGGTCTCTACTTGGCCTCCAACGCCTGCGGGGCCTGTGCTGCCCCACCACTTTGACCTCGTTTCCCTTCTCCCCCTCCTCCGCCCCCCGGGCCCTCTGTGGTCCTGGAGCTGGCCTCTAGGTCTGTGCACCTGAGCGGTGTGGCCCCTGCCCCACCAACCGGCTTGCTCCTTCACTTCATTCAGGCTTCGCTCACATGTCTTTTCAGGGATGCTCTAGGCCAGTCTATTTGCAGAAACAACCCTTCCCTACCCTTTTATTGTCCTTTTTGTGCTTTGCCTGCCTGCCCCAGAATGTCAGCTCCAGGAGGAAAGGGACTTTGGGTAGTCAAGTGACAAAAGTCCCCTACACCGTGGTTCTCGTCTTTGTCTAAAATTATCACGGTGAGCCTCGTGCAGGGGTGGACATGAACGACCAGGAAGACAGTGGATTACTGTTGGTGCAAAGAGTTCAGCAGCAGTCCCCAGGCTTCTCTTGGCTGTGGGCGGGGCCTGTTTGGGGGCATACATCTCTCTCAACACCACCCTTCTGTCCCCTTGAGCATCAGATGTGGACTGAAGGAGAGCGATCTGTTCAGTGAACGTGTATGGAGCTGGGCATGGGAAGCCTGGGCAGAGACAGTGCAGAGGCCTGAGGTGAGCATGGCTGACGAAGGCACGGAGAAGGCTGGGTGGGGGAAGGCCAGCCCCTGGGGTGCAGGGATATTTTAGGTTTTGTTCTAAGTGCGGTGAGAAGCCTCCGGAGGGTTTCCACGTGGTGTGACATGGCCCAGTTCGATAGGCTGCTGTGTGGAGGGTGGATGGGGGTGGAGGAGGGTGTGTGAGGAGGCGGCAGTGGGTAAAAGCAGAATGTGGTCAGAAATCCAGTCGTTGCCACGTGTCCCCACGTTCCCAGCCTTTGCGTGCTGGCTGTGTCCTTCACGGGGGTGGGAGATCTGCTGCAGCAGCCTTCTAGAGTCACACGTGGAGCCCCTGAGAGTGAGGGCCCCCGGGGCCAGCTCGGGGCCTGGCCCGGCGTCCATGCTCAGAACACCTGCGTGAAGAGCACGGGCCCCTCAGCAAGCACCTGCAGCGGGTATACCCCCTTCTCTGAGCCGCCCACCCAGCGCTGCAGGCTGGCTGGAGTCACAGGACTGGGGCCCACCTCCAAAGATCTGTTTTAAAAACTGGTTGACCCTGAGTCTTAATGTCCTTGCACTTGGTTAAGCTTATCCCTAACTTCCCTGTGATGCACGCACGGCCCTGCAAGGTGGGGACCACCATCATCCCCCGATTTGTAGGTGGGGCACTCAGGCTCCCGGCTCAGCAACGTGTCCAAGGCCAGCGCGGGCACACTGAGGCCAGGATTGCACCGCTCGACCCAGCCACCCCAAAGCCCCATCCATCCCGCCCGCTGCAGGAGAAGCCCCGGCGCCATCCGGGCGGGCCGTCTCGAGCCGAGGTCTGACTACCGTGCTGCGGGCGCGCGAGGCCCGGCCTCCCCGAGGGACGTCCGCGGGGCGGGGACCCGAGTGGCGCGCCCCGCCCCGCCCGCCGCGGTGGCCGTCCGGGGGCGACACGTCCTGGGAGCGCCGGACGGAAGCGCCGCTGGGACTGACACGTGGCCTTGGGCGGCGCTGCCCGCGTGGGTCGGCCCGGCCGGGAGCCGGCTCCGGACACGCTGCGCCCGCGTACGTGCGCGCCCGATGCAGCCGCCCCCGGACGAGGCCCGCAGAGACGCGGCCCAGGACACCCAGTGGTCCAGGTGGGGCCGCGGGGACGAGGTTGTCTGTCGGGGAGGGAGCAGCGCGACCTGTGGGAGACTCTCCACTGTCTGTGGGGCTGCGTGCCGGGCGCTCCCGGGCTGGAGGCAGGAAGGAGCACACAAGTACCCCTACTGCCCTCCCTTTGCTCCAGTCCCAGGGCCATGAGTACCCCCCAGCCCTCTCCAGGCCAGCTGGGGTCCTGGGAGTGGTGCAGGCAGGGGACATCCTGGGAGTTCTGTCTGGGGGAGGGAGCATTGTCCCAGACAGTGAGGAGGGATGGCTCACAGGCACAGCCCTGCATCCTGGAACTGACCCTGCCAGGTAGGACTACACCCATTTACAGGCTTGAAACCCCAGTGGTGACCACACACCTGAGGAGAAGGAGTAGCAGTGCAGGGTCACCCAACAGGGCAGTCAGGGGACTGGTCAGGGGGCACACGCTGGACGCTGCAGCCCGATGAGTGAGTCCTGCCAACACATTCCAGTTGTGTAATGTGGACAGGGTCCCCATGGAGGAAGTCAGTGGTGCAGGAGGAAGGGCCCAGGCAGGTCTGCCACTCCTTTCCATGTTCTGTTTCCACTGTCCACTGTCAAGTGCAGAAGGCCTCGGGGTAGGGGCTCTGCTCACGGATGTGACACACATAGCAACCAGGAACGAGATGGGAACTCTAGAGGAGCCCCCAGACCACCTATGGCTCAGCGCTTGATCTGGTTCTGTGGCCTGTGGCCCCGGGCCCAACGTCACGCTGTGATTGCAGGGCCAGCCCAGCTCCAGCTCTGAGTCCCCGGGGAACCTGCTCTCTGGGGCCAGCCCCTGCTGCCTGAATGACGATGTCACCGTCCTGTCCTGCCTCCCAGCACAGTCTCCCGATGTTGGGGCCCAGATGAAGGCAAAGGTAGTAAGGAAGACAGAGAGAGGCTGACTTTCAAAAGAAGCTGGAAGGCTCCCACGGGACTGGGCAGGCGAGCAGGGGCGAGAATGGGAGCCACCAAGCTCGAATCTCAGCCCTGGCCCAGTCTCCCCGCCAGCTGCCCCTTAGAGCAGGGAGGGCTGTACCATGGGTTATGCCTGAATCAGGGAGCACCCTGCAGCCTGCTCTCACTCACTTCCTCCCTCCCCACCCTGATGGTTACTAAGGCACGGCCTTGCTCTGAGCCCGACCCGGGTGGCAGGCCAGCTGGGCTGAGGGTTGTGGCCCAGGGCGATAGAGCATTCTGCAAACTTCCCTCTCAGGTTATATTTTAATGTCTCTGGGTTGCCTTTGCCTTAACTACTCCCCTCCCTGCTCGTTTTAGGAAGGAGCACTTGCAGCCTTCTGGGAAGTTGGCCCATGAGGTAGCTGGAGTTTTGGAGGGGCCTGTGGGATCCTGGGTGGAGTAGGGCTCATCCAGGAGAAGGTTGTTCTCACCCCTGAGTGGATGATAATAATACTGATCGTAACAAGCGCTACTGTTTATTGCTGCCGGCTCTGCGTGCCCACTGCCTGAACCAGCAGTGTCCACTTTTCGGGCAGCCCAGAAGGCAGGGCCGCTGTTCAGCCACACCCCAGTGTGGGGGCGGCCGGCAGCCTTGGACCCGCGCGTTCTCTGGCTTGCTGCCCTCCTGGCCTGTGGCACCGGCACATTTCCCTTTTCTGAATCGAGGGGCCATGTGACCACCTATTTGCTCAGCCATGAATGCTTCTCCTGCACAGCGGCTGTTTGCAGGAAGCAGAAGGTTCTAGAAGGTTCACAGGAAGCATCATGACGAGCTGGGGGCACTGACCTGAGGATCAGGCCCATCCAAGTGGGCGGGATGAAGCCTTTCAGGCCCTTCCTGACCAATCCTGCCGGAGCCTTCTGTGTTCCACCAGCCCCTCCACAGGATTGAGGATTCTGGTTCTGACGTCCTAATCAGTCCTCGGGCAGCTGGCTGTGTCTGGGTCGCCCTCTCCAGCCAGACTTCCTTGTTCTGTGTCCTCCACAGCTGTGAAGGAAGTCCCTTTGCCCGCCTAGCTGGCACTGCCCTACCAGCTCAGGGATGGGGCTGTGGGGGCCTCCAGGGCCCAGGGAGGAAGCAGACAGCACCTTGCCCCACGCAGCTCCTGAGGGAGCTTCCGTGCCAGCGCCGTAAGCTCAGAGTGGACTGGTTGCCTGGGACCTGATGGGCCTTTCTTGACCTCTCGTGGCCATGAGGAGGCCGGGGGGCAGCACCGTATTCTCAGTACCCTGCCGACCTTCCAGAGCGGGTTGGTCTCAGCTGGCCTTCCATTGTTTCTAACTGGACTTCCCACCAGGCAGCAAACAGGGCCAGGCTCTCAGGGTCACAGAGAGGGTGCACCTGCGGGAGGGGTCGGTGGGTGGGGGCGTGGTCCCGTCTACAGGCAGGCGACCCTCCACTGCTTTGACCGCATAAAGAGATAAAGCTCCCTTTTAAAGGCACCTTTGGACTGTGGCTGCTCGTGGGAAGGCAAAAACCTCGCCCCCACGCCCCTGCTGCTTTCCTCGTGCACTGAGGCCTGGGAAACAGAGCCGTGCACACATGTGCTTGTGTGCAGGGCACAGAAAACCGTGGGCCTGTATGGGTCACCCAGGACGGTGTCTAGAGGCCACGGCAGGTCTGAGCAGCAGGCACGCCCATGGGGGGGCTCTGTCAGCTCCCTCTGGGTGGCCGCAGGCCAGCCGACTGGACTGATTTTGGCAGGCAGTTTTGACTTTGTTGCTCTGTGCTTCCCTAGGAAGCCCGGTGGGAGTGTTCGCTCAAAAGGAGCAACATCCCCTACAGGCCTGCAGCGCTTGGGATGGAAACAGGGGCCGGGAGGGTGGATTGGTGCGGGGATCTCGCCAGGCAAGCTTCGTCAAGTCCCAGGGATGAGCTTTGGGGAGAAGTTGGGGACTGCATCCTCATGTTTGGAACCCTGGAGGAGGCAGGTGCCTGAGCCCCCAGGGTCTGCAAAGGTGGATCTGTTTGGGGATAGTAGGCCGGGCTGTTTGGAACTTGGACTCATTCACTCCAAACCCGTAAGTGATGGTCTTGAACCTTGAATCAGCTTGTCTCGGCTGGTGGGACTGCAGGACCCCAGAGCAGATTCCTTGGCTGTGGAGGGCACAGCTGGAGGTGTGTGGCCCTGGGGCCCCCATGGTGACGTCCCTCAGTAGGCCCAAGACAGTGGGGGAACTGCAGCCTCCCCATCTCACTCCCCGACTGGAAAAGTACACTGTGGTTTGCAAAGGGAAAGTGGACTCGTGTGGAGATGCCTGCCAGAGGAGGTGGCCGGTCACAATGGCTCCTTGTTGGGGCACTGGAAACTTGCGGGTCACCCTGCTGTTTACTGACTGTGAGGGAGGCAAGCGTCATGGGCATAGCCCGTCTCTCCTGAGGAAACTGAGGCTTGGGGCAGCCGGGCGACTCGTCCCATGTGCCCCAGGCCCATCCACAGCCAGGCGTGGGCAGGCCGTGGCTGCTGCAATTGCCCTAGAGTGGCACGGGGCCCTGAACCAAACCACGCTCCCCTGGAAAGCTCCCCAGCCAGCAGCACCTTCTGGCCCCACCGTTTCCACCCAGCTCCAGTGGCTAGTGGTCCACCCTGCTGGCAGGAGGGCACTGGGCTGTGGGCACAGCCTCGACTCGCTGCAGGCTGCTCTTTTGGCAAGACAGGCTGGTTCTGGGTTGGGTGCTGCCTTCGAGATAGCGCACACATTTTGTCGCGCCCATTTATCAGGCTCCTGGCATGTGTACTGCCCGCTGGCTCCAGGCCAGCCGGCAATACCTTGAGGCATGAAGCCACCCTCAGGGCCTCGGAGGTCTCCTATCCCCCGGAAGGCATCCAGGCAAGGACCCCAGCCCTCCCACGGGTGCTCCTGGCCTGTCCTCCTGAGTCGGCCTTGCAGGCTGCGCCTAGAAAGGGTTGGTGGGCTGGAAACGTGCCCACGTGTCCACCGCAGATTGAATCCAAGCTTCCACTTCCCCCGGCCCCTCACTGTTCTCTGGCAGATCCCCACCAGGGCAGCCTCCCGCCAGATCCAGACAGAGATCTGAACAGGGGTTTGGGGAGCAAGGGAGAGACTCCAGTGTCCCCCTCATCTGCCAGGTGAAAGACATTCTTCCCTGCTCTGCTCTACAAACTGCCCTCTGAGGCTCCAGCAGCCTCCTCTCCTGGACACCCCTTCCTGCCTTTTGGTTTATGGCTCACGGCCCCTGCCTTCCTCTCCTGGATGAATCCTGCCATTTTCCTGGGTGACTTTGATGTCCACATGGGCCGTCCATCTGGCGCCCTGGCCTCTCACCCTTGACCTTCTCCTCCCCAGTGACCTCCTCAAGGCTTGACGGTGCCAACACCTTGGCCCCCTTCATCCAGCCCGGCCAGGCCTTGGGCCCCCAGGCTTGGACCCCCTGCCTGTGTCTTTCTCACAGCCTGAGCTTCCTCCCTGCGGCACCCCACAGCCCCGGGGAGAACCCAGCCACCTGTACCTGCACCCCAGCCAAGGAGCAAGTCCAGGGGCAGCAGGACACCAAGCCCCCTGCTGGGGCCACTGTAGGCCTCCCGCTCTCCTGACCAGCTGCCCCCAGTCGCCGTCCCCATTGCACACAGACATCGAATTTCTCTAGTGCTGCCCCCTCCCCCCGGCCATCCCCCCGTGCACCTCCCCCACTGGATCTCTCACCTGCACAGACAGTGCTCGAGGCTCCTTCTCTCTCTTCTTCACTTCTTAAAAATAAGCTTTGTCTTTTAGAAGAGTTCTAGATTTATAGAATCACTGTGAGGGTAGTAGAGTCCCCATATGCTCACACCAGCGTCCCCATTCACGTCTTAGATTAGTGCCCTGCGTTTGTACCATCAGTGAACCGATACCAGCATGGGACTGTTCAGATTTCTGCAGTTCCCCCGATGTCCCAGGACCACACCCAGGGTCCCACAGACCCTGAGTCGCCGTGTCTCCTGGGCTCCTCCTGGCTGTGTGGTTTCTGACTTCCCTTGGTTTTGGTGACTGACGTCGAGGAGCACCGGCCATGAGTTTTGTGGACCGTCCCTCTATGGACATTTGTCTGGCGACCTTCCTAGGCTGCCAGGGCTGCCTCACCCCTGCCTGGGTTCCTCCGAGGGGCCAACCGCCCCCCTGGCGCTGTGTCCTTGCTGGCCGCCCAGCACCGCTTGCCCCCAGGTCCTCTGCCAGGCAGACCCAGGTTTCCTGGGGACCCTGTAGGGGCCCACAGTGCTGGTTCCACCCAGTCACAAGACCCTCCCTCTTGCCCAGCCCGATGCTCTCTTGGTGGGTTATGAGCTGTCAGTTCCGGCCTGGTTGCCTTCCTGGACCCCCTTGGTCCATGAGAAACCAAGTGCTTGGGTCCTGGCCGCTGGTCCTGGAGGGCAGCATCCCTAAGCCGTGGCTTATGTAACCCGCCCTGTGGCTGGCCTTTTGGACTGTTCCCACCTCTGCCGTTATGAGTGATGTCGTGCATCATTTCCAGAATCTGCTGTGTTCTCCGAGGAACCTCTGCAGTTATGAGCGATGTCGTGCCTCATTTCCAGAATCTGCTGTGTTCTCCAAGGAGTCAGCAGCAGGAACGTTTAGACATCGAGAGGGGGCCCAGCTGCCTCTTCCCGACCTGCATGGAGGAGGGCTCCTTCTCTCCTGGCCTGACCCGGCTTCTCTCCTACTGCAGGCCCGAGTGCCAGGCGTGGACGGGGGCACTGCTGCTGGGCACGTGCCTGCTGTACTGTGCCCGCGTCAGCATGCCCGTCTGCTCCGTCTCCATGAGCCAGGACTTCGGCTGGAACAAGAAGGAGGCCGGCATCGTGCTCAGCAGCTTCTTCTGGGGCTACTGCCTGACTCAGGTCGTGGGCGGCCACCTGGGGGACAGGTAACCCCCTCTCCCTGCAGGGCTGGGGGCTGCTCTCGGGGGAGGGTGGGCCCTGCTGCCACATAGGGCAAGGCAGCTCCTGGGAAATGAATGTGGGAGAGGCCCCACCCAGAGGAAGACCTGAGCTGGGAGACCTGAGGTTCACCTGGGAGGTGGTCGGGGGGCCAGCACAGCTCCCCTTGGGGTGCTCAGCACCCTGAGGAGCACCCGGCATCCCAGTGAGGCAGCTCTGGGGGCTTGTGGGGACAGACGGACCAGGCTGGACCCTGCGGTCTCACTGCAGCCTCCTCTGCAGAGGGGGATGTGGCAGCACCGCCCACCCTGGAGGGCTGCTCTGAGCGAGAGAGCGATGGTGCAGGCTCTCCACCCCGGGTTCCTCCAGGGCAGGACCTTCTGGTCCAGCCCATCAGCCTGGCCGCACAGCTCTCCCATCACCGTGCTCCTGTCCCCCCTTTAGGATCGGGGGTGAGAAGGTCATCCTGCTGTCAGCCTCTGCCTGGGGCTTGATCACCGCGGCCACCCCACTGCTCGCCCACCTTGGCAGCACCCACCTCGTCTTCATGACCTTCTCTCGCATCCTCACGGGCTTGCTCCAAGGTAGGGGTGCCTTGGGTGGCTCCCTCATGCTGCCAGCATTTCACTCTCTGGTCCCAGGCACGGTAGAGCAGGGGGAGTGTGTGCACGTGTGTGCATGTGCATGTGTACCTGTGTGTGTGTGAATGAGTGCGTGTTCATGCAGATGGGTGAACGTGTGGGTGCATGTGTGTGTACACATGCATGTGCACGTGTGCATGTGTATGTGTGGACGTGTGCATGTGTGTGTTCATGCAAGTGGGCGCACCGTGTGTACACATGTGTGTGCATGCGGGCATGTGTATGTGCGTACACATGTGTGTGTGCGTGTGTGTTTGTGCAGGTGTGTGCACATGTGTGTGCATGTGCAGGTGTACCTGTTTGTGGACAAGTGCATGTGTGTGTTCATGCAGGGGAGTGAACATATGGGTGCACCTGTACATGTGTATGTGTAGACGTGTGCATGTGTGCATGTTCATGCAGGTGGGTGCACGTGTGCACTCATACATGTACTCGTGTGTGCTCCTGAGTGTGGCGTGCCTTCAACTTTGCCTTAAATCAGAGCAGATGTAGCAATACCTCAGGGCCGTTGCTGAGCAGGTCCTGGGGCCCTCCAGCCTGGCGGGGGGGTGGCTGTCCTTGTGGGCAGTGGGAGTGCAGTCCCTGGTGGAGGGTGCTGTCCCGGCCGCACTTCCCTGCCCTGGGCCGGTTTGTTTGTGCTATGATGACTTGGCACCTGAAGCACTTTCCATTTTCTGGAAAGACTTCAAAGTCTGGCACGTTCTGATGTCACATGTCCTCCTCTGCCAAAAAGTCTACTCCAGGGAGCTGGGTGGCAGCCAGGTTGCTACGTGATAACTGTCAATGCCACCGGGTGGCACGGTGGGGACGTGCGGAGTTTCTGTGTGTTGCCAGGCAGAGGCCACACCCCTTCTGGCCAGGCCAGCAGGCTGAGGGGATGCAGGTTTCCTAAGACCTCTGGCTCCCATGCTTTGGGGACATTATACTTCTGGAGAGAGGCCCCCAAAGACCCCCGGTGGCCCAGGTGAGCTGGTGGCAGGTAGTACACAGCCCACCTTCGTGGGAACAGGATAGCCTTCTGAACTCCTGCCCTGTACCAGCATGGCATCGACAGCATCCATGACCTGGATGTGATCCAAGTGGGTGGAGTCTGGGCCCCTTCCTCAGCACATCTCCCCACCCACTCTGGAAGGGAGCCCCAGTTACCCAGCCCCCAAGAGCCTGGGGCAGGGCATGGGCCTGCTTCCAGCCTGTGCCCTCAGGACCCCAGATCTCCTGGAATTGGCCTCTGCCTGTTTTCTGACCAGCCCCACCAGTCTCGCCCATGGGTGGTCCTGGTGGTCTGAGCATTCTGGCTCCTGTGCTCCTGTGAGTCCACCCCACTTGCTCCTCACGTAGCCTGTGGCTGATACTCTCTGTCCCACAGATGAAGGTCCCAGGGGTGGGCTGTATGATGCCCAGCTGGCTCTCTGGGCACCTAGCTGGGTGGCCCTCAGCTCGGGCTGTTTCTCCCCACCCTCCTGGGAGGCGAAAGGACTTCTCTCGCAGCCGGTCTATGGCCCATTAGGGGGTACAGACTGGGACTCAAGGGGCAGCTGTCACCCTGGGTGACTGGCACTTGATGTGGGCAGGGGCCTGGGTCCCCGATGGGAAGGCAAGGACAATATCCTGTTCCAGGTCCCTGGCCTCTTAGCTTCCCCTGGGTGCTTCAGCAGAAAAACACAGCGTGACAGGCAGGAGCTGCAGAGCCCAGGACAGGGTTTTTTTTTAAGTAGATTTTGAAATAACTATAGATTCACAGGAAGTTGCAAAGAAATGTACAGGGAGGTTCCGTGTTCCCTCCCCCGCCTCCCTGTGGTGACATCTGGAGTTGCTATAGGGCAGTGTCACATCCAAGAACCAGCACTGTGGTTCCACAGGGCTGTTCAGGTCTCACTGGTTGTATGTGCACCGTGTGTCCAAGTGTGGGTGAGTGTGACCGTGTGCCTCAGTGTGATCGTGAGTGTGTGTGAGTGCATGCACTAATGTGATCAGTGTGTGATGTGTGTGTTTATGCACATACACGTCATGTGTGTGTGCACACGTGCATGTTAGTGCGAGGACTCTAGAGCTGGTGTGGCTCTGGAAGCTGGTGTGACAGTGGCAGGAGTCTTCCCGCCACCTGTTCAGCATCGCGACCTGGAGTGCGCGTCTCACCAAAGCTGAGCATCTCCTTCGTCAAGTGTCACTAGAAGCCCAGCCCTGTTGGGCCCTTGGCGGTGAGGTGGGCATGAAGGACACCCCAGGCCCGAATAATCATTGATGGGCCTCAGGGGAGCCTCCCAGCCTGGCTCTCGCCCCTCACTGGACCTGCGTGTTGGCTGGGGGAGGCAGCTGCGGGGCCTCTGCATTCTCTGCTTGTTCCAGGCGTTTACTTCCCTGCGCTGACCAGCCTGCTGTCGCAGAAAGTGCGGGAGAGCGAGCGAGCCTTCACCTACAGCACTGTGGGGGCCGGCTCCCAGTTCGGGTAAGTCCTGGCCTGGGAGGGCAGGGGAGGCAGAGGCGGTGCCCCTGGTAGAGCGGCCATAGGTCTGGGCAGGACAGGCCATGTGGGAACATCTGCGGCTCAGGGTGACGCGGGCCTGGCGGGTTCTGTGCTCCCGGAGGCGCTGGCTGCCGCTCCCCATCTCTGTGCAGAGCACTTCTCTCTGTATGTGTTCTGTCCCCGGTGCTGGCGGCGGTGACGTAGGCTCTGGGGCTCTGGCACAGGGGCTGGGGCAGTGGCTGCTTCATCAAGCTCCCCTTAGTATGTGCGGAAAGAGCGGGGTGGGGAGGGGCCTGTGCTCACAGGTCACAGCCCAGATGTGGGCACCCCGTGTCCCTCCTCCCCACATCGCCCCCAGCTCCACGCCCTCATGCTGAGACCTTGCTCGGGGTGGAAGGATGTCCCACTGTCCTACCGGGGCTTCCCGTCCCCCAGGCTCAGGGCTCTGACTTCACTGTTGCCGAGGTCTAGGCAAGAAATCAGAGGGTGGGGGTGCCTGTGGGTGAGCCAGGAGCTGCCCAAATAAAAACCCAGGGTACCAGCGAGATGTGAACTTCAGATGAGCGACATGGGACACACTCCCACAGAGAAAGATTCCTTGTTCCTCTGGAAGCCCGTTTCCCCAAGGCCCAGGGAGAGGCCATGCCCACCCCATAGGTGGGGAAGGGGAGGCTCAGAGAGGAAGGCCACCTCCTACAGGCCCACGGGCCTGCATGGGGAGGAGCTTCTTTTCATCTCTTTTGTCCCCTTTTGCTGTCTCCTGGCTGAAGCTCGGCAGATGGGGCAGCAAGGAGGGGGCCGAGGACATATTTGGGACGATAGGGGGTTGGGTTTGGTTGCTGTCATTTTGCATTTAGAAATCTCTTGGAAATCCCACCCTCTCTGACGTGAAGCTGAGGACAGAGTGGAGGTTTCATCTCAGTGTGTTGTCGGCAACACGTGCTTCTTGTTGCGTTTTTTAGTTTAAAAGGATCCACATCACAATTGTAGGCCAACTGAAGGTCTAGGAGCAAGAAACTAAAGCAGCAGCCCCTGGCAGCCGCCTCTGTGCCACGTTACACCCAAATGGCTGTGCCCGTGTCCACCCTGGCCCCGTGGCATCTTAAGTCTCTCCTGAATGCTTGTAATCCTTAACAAAATACGCTGATACTGGGGCTTCTGAGCAGCTGCTTTATAGATGACAGAAATACCTTCTTTTTTAGAGACTCAGCTCACGTGGGTGGGGATTCTCCACTCGTCTCCTCGCCTGAGTGAAGCCGAGGGTCGTGGCCACACTCCTCTCTGTCGTTCTAGGACGCTGGTGACGGGGGCCGTGGGCTCCCTGCTTCTGGACTGGTACGGCTGGCAGAGTGTCTTCTATTTCTCCGGCGGGCTCACCCTGCTGTGGGTGTGTTACGTGTACAGGTACCTGCTGAGTGAACAAGGTAACCACGGCTGGGTGGGCGACTGCCGGCCAACGCCACTGCCCGGGGAGGGGCCGGGCCTGGAGCAGCCATGGAACTTCCGCAGAGGATGCCAGCTCAGCGGACCCGGGGCTGCCCTGGGCTGCAGAAAGAATCCCCTAGACTAGAGTTTCGGGAAAAACGCCTGCGCGCTGAGCTCTCAGCCTGGTTACGGCCTAGTTCGTCCTGAGAGTTCCGTTGGGGCGAAAGCAGACTCACTGGGAGAGCTGTCGGCCAGGCACGGCGGTCTGCAGGGGCAGTTGTGTCTTCACATGGCAGGAAGGGGCCCGGGGTATTCGAGGACGGGGAAGGATGGAGAAAGAAACCCTCAACACAAACGTCGACCCTCAGAGGCAAATGCTGCCGACCTAAGGCGCTGGCAGAGAGGATGATGCACAGCCAGGGAGGGCGCGCAGGGGTGCAGGGTGTGCTGGCCCCCTGGAGCCACCCCTGTAAGCGGTCTGTAGAGAGCAGACGCCGGCCTGCCTGATTCTGAACAGCTTTCACATGGAAACACCTCGCTCCCTCCAGATCTCCTCCTGGCCCTGGGCGTTTTGGCACAAGGCTTGCCGACGTCCCGGCACACCAAAGTTCCCTGGAGACAGCTCTTCCGGAAGCCTTCTGTCTGGTGAGCCGGGCCTGCCGAGGGGTCGCAGCACGGGGCTGGGGTGGCAGGAGGGGGGTTGGACCCTGGCGGGCCTCGCATGCTCCCCTGACCACAGAACGGGCACGACCTGGGGCTCAGACCGGCTGCACGGGGGTGGGGCCACTCTTAGCCTCTGGTGCGGGGACGGGGCTGGGGGCACATGGACCTGAGCCTCGCCCCCACTGCCCTGCAGGGCAGTCGTCTTCTCCCAGCTCTCATCGGCGTGCTCCTTCTTCATCCTCCTCTCCTGGCTGCCGACTTTCTTTAAGGAGACATTCCCCAGCTCCAAGGTGGGTTGGCCACCTGGCAGCTGGAGCAGGATGAAGGGCGCCACGAAGCCAGCGCCCGGCGTGCAGATGGGCGCTTAGTTCCACCAGACTCTGTGATGGTTCTGACACCACACAGGTTCATGGCTTCACCATATGCAGGGCCGGTGCCCGGGGTTGGGGCACCTTGGAAAGGCCCAGCGCTGTCCTGCTGCCGCGTTCACATCCAGACCACACCCGGCCACCCCGGCAGAGCCCCCACCCTAGGGCCCGGCCAGCCAGTCTGTGGATGGTCATTCCTGAGGAGGTGCCAAGCAGGGGCTGTGATGCAGTCAGCTCGGCTCACTCTACTGAGGCTGTCCAGCCACCCGCCCGGCTCTGGTGACCAGGACCCCTGAGCTGCACATTCCCAGGGCGGGGTGCGTCCCCTAGCTCTGCCCTGTCAGGGTGTGGGGAGACGTGAGGGAGATTCGGTCTGCAGGTGACACAGTGCTGGTGGGCCCAGCGCTTGGCCAGGGTGGGGAGGGCTTAGGGCAAGGGAGGCCCCGACCCCAGGAGGCCCAGTCTGCTGGTGGGGAGAGCCCCACTGGGCAGTGGTGAGCATGGGCAGCCACTCTCCCTGGTGGCCGGGTACCGGCTCTGGCCACCTCTGAGGGTCCCTCCCTCCCTCTTTCCCTGCAGGGCTGGGTCTTCAATGTGGTGCCCTGGCTGGTGGCGATTCCCGCCAGTCTGTTCAGCGGGTTTCTGTCTGATCATCTCATCAATCAGGGTGAGCCCTGGGGGCAGGGCCAGGCTGGGAGCCCCACTCGGCCTTGCCTTACTTTTGGAGGGCAGGGAGGCACCCCCCCTGGAGGTGCAGCTACAGCGATGGGAAGGTGCCGTGCCCCCTGAGGACCAAGCTGTGAGACTGGGACCCCTGCCCTTCAGAGCCTGTCAGGGGTGGGCCTGTGGGAGCCTGGCTCCCTGTCTGACTCAGCTGATGACTGCCTCGAGCCTGTCACCTCCCCCAGCCTCAGTTTCCCCATTAAGGGGGGGTTGGGGTGCAGTGAGAGGACCCAAGTCCTACTGTGACTGTGGAGCCCCCCTAGGGGCTGGACCCAGCCCCGAACTCTCTTCAGAGCAGGAAAGGGCATGTGATGGGGCCAGAGGTCGCGGGCCTGAGGTGGGCCGCGCATGTCAGGTGCCGGTCCAGGACCCGAGGGCACACGTCCCGAGGGCAGCGCTCTCGCAGACACGCATGCTCCCCTTAAGTGCTAGTCTTTTCCTAGTTACAAAAATACCACGAGCTCATTGTGGAAAAATTAGAAAATTTGCAGAAACACAAAGAAAGGACATTTGTAACTGTCCCAGTGTGTCTGCCTGGCCTCAGCCGTGGGAGCCCTCTAAGTGCACACGCGCTGGCTGCAGAGTAGATGCACGCACACACACCCACACGCGTGTGCACAGGTCTCACCCACGACACAGGAAACCCCATCTTGAGCCGGGGCCCGTCCCTCCTCTCCCCTACTCCCTCTCCTCAGCTGTGCAGGTAGGACTGCCCCAGCACCCTCCCCACCCAGGGGCGTCAGGGGCGTCAGTGCAAGTGGGCCAGTGGGAATGTCTCCTGGTCTCCCCTCTGTTCAGGTTACAGAACCATTACCGTGCGGAAGTTCATGCAGGTAGGACGGTCGGGGAACGGCTCTCTCTGGACATCCCTGTTTTTTTCCTGGGACCTGAGGGTTGTGTCCCCAAATCACCTGACCCAGAAGGCAGCCAGTGTGGCACGGCGGCTGGAGGGTGCCCTGGGTCAGTGCTGGGGGCCAGTCTGGCTGAGCTGAGGCCTTCCCAGAGCTGTGTCCACGGGCTTGCTGCCCCTTGGAGTCCCGGCACCCACTTCTGGGCCTGGGTTGCTCTCGCAGGACAGGGCTGCTCCCCTTTACCTCCGACGAGCGGGGCTGGCTGATCAGGGAGCCTCGTCCCACACATCCCCTGGGCAGCCCCTGGCCCGGGAGAGGTTTGCCCCGCTCACCCTTGTTCAGTGCACCCCGGCAGCCCCGGGGAGGGGCCCTGTTGGCTGGCATGGCTCCCCCCCCAACCCCGTCACCAGCTGTCGCTCCCACAGGTGATGGGCCTCGGCCTGTCCGGCGTTTTCGCCCTGTGTTTGGGCCACACCTCGAGCTTCTGTAAGTCTGTGGTCTTTGCGTCGGCCTCCATCGGCCTTCAGACCTTCAACCACAGGTAAGAGCCGGGCACCCTGTCCACCAAAGCCGTCCCTTGCTGCCCGCAGGCACCCCTGGCCCTGCTCATCCTGGGCGTGAGGGAGAAGCCACCTGGCTCAGGGGCTGCATGGAGGGTGCGCATGGCTGGTGCCCACGGGTGAGCCACGGAGGCGAAGGGTTGTCTGAGCCGGTGTGAACCTGGGCCATTTGAAAAACAAACATCTCACCTGGGGAGGGACTGGGGAAAGCGATGCCCATCTCCAAGTAGCGTCTTTTGTTCCAAGCGTGTGAGGCGTGTCCTCCGTCTGCGTCTTTCTCTCCCCGATCTGCTCAGCAGCAGTAACCTTTAATTAGGAAAACTTGGGGAATCGGCAATTTAATGTTTTCAAATTAGTGAACAGCAAATGAGTGTGCCTTCGAGGAAGCTTGTCTTCCTGTTGTTTGTTTTATCCTGGGAGCGGGTTCCTGTGCTGTGTCACGGCCGAGACGGTAGAACTAGGGTGGGCTCAGATGACCTGGGATGGCCCAGCACCCCGGCATGGTGGGCAGGCCCCGGCCGGGCTGGGTCCCGAGCGCCCCCTGATGGTCTCCAGGCTCCAGGTGCTCAGAGGACTGACCACTGGCTTGGCAGGGTGGCGGCTGCCCGTGGTCACTCGCCCGCCTCCTCTCCCCTTTCCCACAGTGGCATTTCTGTTAACATCCAGGACCTGGCCCCGTCTTGTGCCGGCTTTCTGTTTGGTGAGGCCCCCAGCCCCGTTTGGATAGGAGGCGGCTGCCCCCAGCCTGGGCGTTGCTCACCCCAGCCCTGCCCCTCCCTGGGCCCCCAGGGGCTGCCTCCAGGCCGCTGAGCCGTGGGCAGGTCGTGGTCAGCCTCCTCTGACTGGTGTTTACTCTCTCTGCGCTGTTCACAGGTGTGGCCAACACAGCTGGGGCCTTGGCAGGTGAGAGGTGCGCTGCGGTCCCTGCCTTTGAGGGTCAAGCCCAGAGGCCCTGGGGAGCCTCCTGGCCGCCCCACCCCTGTGTCCTCCCATTCCTTCCAGCTGCTCCGGCCCTGCAGGGTTGGGCCTGACACCTTCAGGGGGTTCCATGGTGTCAGGCCGGTTTCGGGAGAGCGCAGACCCCAGAGCTGGCCCAGGGAGAGAGCAGAGTGTTCATTTCTCCGATGGCGCATAAACCCCCCCGCCCCGACCTGACCCACAGATGTGAGTCAAATACCCTGGTCCAGGGTCCCCATGGGCCCAGTGCCTAGAGGACGATGACAGGACTCATTCCCCGGCCCAGGCCCTCCCACTGCCCCCGTCCCCTGTGGAGGACACTGAGGGACCCATTAGGTAGGTGATTTCCTGGGTGGCTCATGAGGTCTCTGCCCCTCCGAGACCCTCTGCCCGGCAGCTTGGACACCTGAAATCGGCTTCTCTCATTCCAGCCATCCCCCTGGCCTCTCCTCCAGGGCCCCCCATCCAGCTCCTCTCCCTGGCACTGCCCTTGGGACTGCCTGTCACTCAGCCCGCCTGTCCCATCTCTCTGGTGCAGGTGTCGTGGGCGTGTGCCTGGGCGGTTACCTGATAGAGACCACCGGCTCCTGGACATCTGTGTTCAACCTGGTGGCCGCCATCAGCAGCCTGGGGCTGTGCACCTTCCTGGTGTTCGGACAGGCCCAGCGTGTGGACCTGAGCCCCCCCCACGAGGACCTCTAGTTTCCCGGACCCCACAGGCCCCAAGACCCAGCGCCATCAGCCGTGGGGCCAAGGGCTCAGCTGAAGAACGTCTTGCTCTCTACCCCAGATGTGTGAGCAGAGGAGAGAGCGAGCCTCAGCTGGGCCGGCGGGGGGTGCCGACACCAGAGCCAGACAGCTCTGGTCGGGCCTCAGTTTCCCCACTTGCCGGTGGGGCGATCATGCCCTCCTCTCAGGGTTGGTGGGACTGCCAGGGGTGAGTGGGGTGTATTTTTAGTAACAGCAGCTTCGTTACAGACACAATCTGTTCTGTGCAGATCCGCAGGTGCCCTCTGCAGTCGCCCTGCCTCCCCCACCCCGTGTAAGACCGTCAGACTGTGGAGAGCACGGCCATCATTGCAGGGGCTGGGGCGCCACCCTCTGGTCTTCCCCCCGAAACCTGCTTCTCTTTGTTTCTCTGTACTTGGGGCCGGATCATTCTCTGTGGGACCATCCTGTGCACTGTGGGGTGTTCAGCAGCACCCCTGGCCCCCACCCTGTCATGATCCCCCAGTCATGACCACCCAAACTGTCTCCTGATGTCACCAAGTGTCCCCAGGGAACCGCTCCCAGTGAGAACCACGGCTCTAGGTGAAGCCCGTTGGGGCTTCTCCGAGCAGCCAGGCTGAGACCGCAGTTTGATGGCTGGGTGGTGGGCCCGAGGCCCTTGCCCAGCTTTGGGGCCCCCCACCCCCAGTGTGCCCCTCTCACAGATCCCTGGGCACTAGCGATGTGTTCTGCTTCCCTGGCACCTGGTGACTCCAGCTGAGAGGAGGGTGGGCCCCTTCCTGCCCAAGATGCTCCCCGGAACCAGGCAGACCCCCTTTCTGAATGTCTCCCACTCTCCCAGCTTATAATAGAGGAGCTGGTCGGCTCATGAATTAATAATAGATTCTGCAAGATGTAAATTTAGAGAAAAGAAGCTATAAAATGTGTAAAATCACACCAAAGCCTAATTTAAATGATGACTATTAAACTATTTTAAAAGAAGACCATTATTTTATTCAACATCCTTTTTTAAGAAAGAATAAACACGTGTTAAAGATTTATTTAACTCATTCATGAAGAAACCAGCAAAGTGCTACAAACAGGTGAAAGGAAAGTGCAAGGACTTGTCTGTGGATCGGGAGCGTTGAGACGCAAGTCAAACAGAGCCAAGAGCCAGGACCAGCTTGTGGTGGCTCCTCTGCTGGGCAGACCCAGTGCGTGTCTGTGGATAAGAACGGCCCGCATTGCTATCTGATCTGCAGAACTAGAGTCGGACAATTCGTCACTTTCCATTTGAGCACAGATTTTCCCCTACCGCCTCCCCACTCTTGACCAGAAAGAATCTGAAAGAAAGACTCTTGATGACAAAGTGGGTCTGGCCGGCTGTTTGCAGAGGTGTGGCAAGAATGCAAATTCCATAAAGGCCCTCACGGCTGCTCGGCTGCTTGGCTGGGTTTCATGAGGAACCGCAGGGGACTTCTGTGATGTGCTGTCCTGAGCGGGAGCCCAGCTCAGCTTAACCCCGAGGACGGCAGTGTCGTGCAGCAGCCGTGAACTCCTCAGGACACACGCGTGCAGGAGCTCTGCTGTCGCGGCCGTGTGTCAGCGCACAATCCGGTGTGTTCAGTACACTCACGTTGTTGTGCACCCATCACCACTATCTATCTCCAGGATTCCCAAACTGGAATTCTGCCCCATTGAACACTAACTCCCACCCCCTCCCCCAACCCCAGCACCCACCGTCCTACTTTCTGTCTCTGTGAATCTGACTCCTCTAGGGACCTCGTATGAGTGGAATCACACAGTATTTGTTCTTTCGTGACTGGCTTATTTCACTGAGCATAACGTTCTCAAGGTTCATCCATGTCGCAGCAGGTGTCAGGATTTCCTTCCTTGTTAAAGGCTAATATTCCATTGTGTATATACACACACACCGTGTTTTGATGACCCACCCGTCCGTGGATGGACACATGGGTTGTTTCCACCTCTTGGCTTTTGTGAACAATGCTGCTGTAAACATGGGTGCACGACAAACCCCTTTGTTTTTAATCCACTGCAAACTGTAAACTCTTTGAGAGTCTGAGAGAGGGGAGAGCCCTATCCATGGGAACCCAGAGTCGTCCGGGTCTCAGTGCCTTGAGCCCCTGAGGGATGCAGGACCCAGGAGGTGATGGCGGGTCGTCTCAGAAGGGGAACCTAAGGCATGCGTGTGGACTTTGTCCAGGCCTCCTGGACTCCACGTCTGGCCACACTTCTGTCCCTTCCTGGAAGGATGGAGGAGGGAGGACCCAGCCTCTTCCCTTCATGCCATTCCTGGTCTGGAATGTCACCCCGGAGTCGGGTGTGGTCTCCCTGACCCTTCCCAAGGCCCGTGTTGGACCCTGGGATGGGGCTCCGTGGAGCCTTGGGAGGATGTTTGCTAGTGGGTAGGGCGCTGGTAGCAAAGAGGGGGTTTCCAGCGGGAGTGGGAGGGGGCCCCGGGCCAGGTGGTGTCTGTATAGTCAGAGTCAGACATGTCCCCACCCCCGTGGGCAGACCTGGCAGATCCCAGCGGCCGACAGGGACCCTGAAGTCGGGCGCGACATTGGAAGAAGCAGCAGACGAGAGTGCAGGGCCGGCATCTGGAGGGTCCACCTGCCTCCTTCACCAAACCCCAGACTGTGCTCGTCCCTTCCCTCCCAGAAGGTGGGACCCCGGCCGCCTGGGGCGAGAGTGTGTGTGTGAGCTTGTGTCTGGGCCGTGTGTGTGTGTGTATCATGTGTGTCTGTGTGCGCACGTAAGGCATGTTTGTGTGTATGTAAGTCGTGTGTGCGTGTGCGTACGCGTGAGTGCACCTGCCCGGCCCACAACCAGGAGACGCCTCTGGAGCCAGGCCGCTGTTACCCCACCGCTGGCCAACAGAGGGCGCTGTCCGACAGGGCTGTGTCCACTCCAGCCCCAGAGCTGCTGGCCCCAGACTCCTCCCCGGGACGCTGGGGGAGTCGCTGCGTTGTCCGGCTGCTCCGAGTACGTGTCAGTCGGTGTTCGCACCCCGAGCTCCAAGGGAAGGGGACAGGCTGGAAGGACATTCCAGGCGCAGGGAACCACGCAGCGATGGTGGGGGAGGCTGGACCCTGTGGTGAGGAGCAGGACACGGCGAGGGTCTCAGCCTGGGGGCGCGTGTGTTGAAGTGACTCTCAGGGGCAGGGACCCTCTCCCAGCTGCCCCTCCCCAGTCTGGGTCACCACCACGGTCCCTCCTGCTGGCCGCCAGACTTGTACACATGGGATTTGCTGTCTCCACTTTGGATGGAAAGACAGAAGGCTGTAGCTGGGACTTTGTGATTCGAGGGCTTTGTCACCACTGGCCACAGTGTGGAGCTCCGGGGGCCGTTCCCTCCACCCTCTCCCGGGGGCCGCAGACCGGACTGTTGGTCCTGAGGGGCACGGGGATATCCAGGGGGCGGGGCTGTCCCCTGACCTGGGCAGGTGGGCAGCCAGAGCTGTGGGAGTTTAGACTCTGAACGGGGTGGCTGTGCTCAGAGCTGTTCCAAGAGCTGCTCCTGGCACCTCCAGCCAACGTCCCTCCAGCGTGGGGGCTGTGCCCGGTCCAGGCTCCCCGAGGTCCTATCCCCGAGGTCCTATCCCCAGACCCCATGCAGGCCTTCCCGGGTGCCCGTCCTCATCTCCCACTCACGTGTAGGGTGGTCCCCTCCTGGTCACCCTAAGTGACACTTTCCTGTCGTCTCTTTAAAGCAGGATCTGTAATGACCACTTAATATTTGTAATTAGCATGCTAATGGCCCCTCTACCTCTCTGGGCTGTCCTCCCTGGCCCCCCCATTTCCACTTTGTCCTTCAGCTGTAGGACTGCAGTGCCCTGAGGGTCCCCACTTGCCCCTCAGGGGCTCCGCTCATCTGGCCCCCTGGGCAGGTCATCCCTCATGGCTGGGACGTGCAGGGGCCACCACAGGGGGATGCCCTTGGTTGGGACACCTCTGGGGACTGCCAGCCTCTTTCTGTCCCGACTGTCTGCAGCGGAGCCACTGTCCCCTCCGCTGGTTCCCTGGGAAGCTGGGCAGCCAGCACGTTGGACACACTCTGACAGGGTTTACTCTATTGTATTTAATTGAAAAGCGTTCAAGGCGCGGCATGAATATTCAGTGTGGGGGCTGCTGGTGCGGGAGCTGCTGTCTGATTGCGGGACGCGCCCCAGCGCGGGGCCTGTCAAAGCGGGAGCGAGGCGGGGAAGCTATTAATTGAAATAGCTTCATTAATTAGTAATTAACAGCAGGGAAATGACTGTGTCACATGTCGTATTTCAGTGGATGCCCTTCATGTGTTATGGGGCCTTTAATTAAAGGATGCGCATTTTAATTAAAGGCAAGCCTGACCCTTTGGCCTTTGGAATACAAAAGATATTCCCAACTTTCAAAGAAGCTGGCTGGGAGCTGGGCTGCCAGGCATGCTGGGCCGCCCCGTCCTCCCACCTTGGGACCCCTTCACCTTCCACAGCCCCTCGAGGGGCAGTGGGCCCAGGCTGCTCCTTCTTGGAGTCTAGCTGACACCCTCCCTGAGCCCAGAGGCGGTGGCTGTGTGGGGTCACATGGAGTCACAGGCCAGCGCAGGAGGGGCCCCGGACAGAGCGGAGCATCGCTGGCCCTGACCCGGCACCGTGAGGCCCAAGCAGCCCTGCCGGCCCCAAGTCCTGCGAGCAGGGGCTGGACGCTGGGCAGAAGGTGCTGAAGGGCTGGCGCTGTCCCTGCGCCCTCTGCCCCCACCAGGCTCCCGGTCTCTGCCCTGTCCTGAGTGGCAGCAGGAAGGCCAGAGGTGATGCTCATCCAGGACTGCGCCCGGCAGTGTGGGGCAGATGCTTGGCCTGCTCCTAACATCCCTCGTGCAAGGTGGGTCCTCTCCTCACCGCACCTAGGTGAGGGCTCGGGGACACTTGAAACTGACCGAAGCCCAGCAGGCGGACCCCGGAGCCCACCCGCAGCCAGGCTGACCCTTGCAGAGACCTCAGGGTCCCCTCCTTGCCACCGCCGCCTCCTGCCAGACAAAGAAGCAAACAGCCATCTTGGGTCCCATGTCCGTTTCCTGCTCTCACGCTCTCTCTGTCTCTGTCTTCCTC